ATTGTATCTTTCCTTTCTTACTTCCCGACAAAGGAAAAGAAAGGAAAAGGAATCGCGCGAATTGATACACGTGAGGCTCGGCTCGTAGTTACAATACAGTACATAGAGAAATAACTCACCGATCAGAAAGGCGGCTCTGTTGACTGACAGCACCCCATTCATATACAGGCAATATGTTTATACTAGACTGATAATGAATTCATGCTGGGCGTAGGGCAAGCTACTTGTGAACAGGTTGCAGGAGCATTACGGATCGGTTCGCACAGATGCTCTTTTGTCGGCAGATGAGTGAGAGCCCAAGGGATAACGCTGGATGATATCAGATCTGTCGGATCGATATAAGAATCAGGGGAATCGGGGTAAAACACGCTTATACGCGCGCACACTTACACACATACGCACGTACACAATTAGATATCGCGTGAATGTGATACGCAGCCGGGAAATCCCACGGGTCCCAATGGGAAACCATCCACGGGGCTTAATGACAATTCTGGCTATTCTATATCGCTCAAACGCTCGTTTGCGCTCGTTTGTATGTACGATCATTGGTACTTAAGCATGTATACCCACAAAATGGCGACATTGATAATCGAAGTTAAGAGAACGAAAATCGCGAAAATCCGTACGCGAGTTTCCGATATAATAGAAAAATTTTGATAAATGTTATTCTTTCAGATGAAATAAATAAAATTTCAGCTCCGGATTCAATCCTTATGTCCTCAATTTGAAATCAAGATTTAGACGTTAGATAAAATAAACGTAAATGAAGTATACAAATTTTAGAAACAATCCGTGTACGTCAAAAAAATAAAAGGCATACATAACGTAATCAATTTATAGCCCAAATTTGATTTTCTATAGGAGTAACACACATATTAAATATAAATCAATTGATTTTGTCACTCTTTTAACTTGCAAATGCCCGATGCACGCAGAATAGTATACGTATATGTGAGAAAAAGATGAATCTTATTAACGAATACTTTTTACTTTATATATAAATACATTAATATATTAATTTTTTTTTAATTCAAACTAATTGAAAAACTTACTTTTGGTCGCAGTTAGGTTAGAAATGGATAAAACGCAAATGATGAGGAAACAAAAGAGGAGCGAAACTGCATAGCGTGTTATCTATCGGGGAAATTTTTGATTGGCGCAATATCCATAACTTTGGGTAAAGTTTTGTGCATAGCTGCGAGGGTAATAGAAGAATCCTGACATATCCAAACGTTGGTTATATCAATATCACAATAGCCAATAATATATATCGACTGCAAAAATTTAGTCGTACAAAATATAAATTTAATACTCTTTATACCGATGAATATAAAAAAGTTAAATACTTAGAAAAGTATTATCTCCAAATATAAAAAATTATTATTTTCTCATATAAAGATTTTATAAATACGCTATTCGTTAAATACTCAATATATAAAATTAATATCACTGACAAAAATATAATATTTTTTCAATAAGAATGTAAAAATGTCGACGCAAGTAAAATAATGATACAACAACGATATGTATGTATATATATCTGACTGGGTACTTTTTGCACTCGAATGAGAAAACAATGCAGCTTGATTGAAACGTTCGAAGATATAATTAATTTCAACATCTCCACCATAATGTATTTGCAAGTTAATCGCCATTAACTGCAATTAGAATATATTTACATGCAATAACATGATGTCTATGTGTAATAATGTTTAATATCACAATATTATTACGTATTATTGCAACTTTACATCATATTTTTGATTAGTTATTCCTATGCGGGATTTATTTTTAGATAGCAACGATCGCAAAAAACAATACAATACAATAATGGCATAATTGTCAACAATTCAAGTTTCTTTGCCAAAGAAAAATTGCGATTCTTTAAGTACTGATGCTGTTCCGTTGCGCGTAGTACAAACTTCATTGCAGTTTCATTTTTTTCATTTTTTTTTTTATGAAATTGCATATTTTTTGTGTTACAGAGTATGCAGTATGATTCCTTTATTCGGGTACTCTATATATACATATCATGATAAGAATATGTGTATTTAACATAACATTTGCAACAGATATGATAAATAAAGAATGATCTCAATGCGAGTTCACAATCATCGCTAATCGTCGCGGCAAGTTTTTTAATTGACCATAGTTCAACATTTATCATAAAACGATATTATAATTCTTTAAATGATATAACAATATAACCGTTGAATGATATATCATGGTGCATATTAGAATTTCACATTAGTAATTTAACGTATTATACAATTTCCCAAATATTTAAACAGATATTAAAAATGCCTAAAATGCCTAAAATATAAAATTTGAAATATTAGAAAAATATTGCGAAGGAAAACATTAAAATCAGTAAATGAGTAATATTGTTTATAGTTATTTATTTGATTGGCAAATCTAATTCTACAATCTTTCTAGTGCGTTACAATTAAATTGTATTTTAATGTATGTACATTAAAATTTGGAATAGCAATTTTTGTTTATATTTTATATATATATATATATATGTATATATATATGTATGTATGTGTATGTGTATATACATATGTATGTATACATATACACACGCATACAAACACACACGCGCGCGCGCGCATAGAAGATCAATATTTATGTATTCAACCTTCAAATTGATTATAAAACTAAACTAAATTTAACATGCAAATTTTTCAAACATATCACAAACGTATTAAGATTAGGCAGTATACTTGCTACATAGTAGACATATTATACTTTTGAACATAATAAATTGCGATACAATAATTTTCTTTCTTTCTATATTCACAAATATTATCTTGTCATACATACATTCATACAATATATATATGGATGTATTTATACATATCATTCAGCTTTTCTCTTTATCTTTTAATGATTTTATTTTTCGACCTAACATATCATATACGGAAGGATTTGGTTCTGTTTCTTGATCTGTATCGGAACTACAATCACTGTCACTAGAATTATCATATGTTCCAAGACCAGGTAATATACCAATACATTTGAGTCCACTATATTCGTTACTGCTGTTTATTTGATTTGGCATAATCTTTTGTTCATCTGATTCAGGATTAGAGGTATCCGCTACTGACTCACAAGACGAATGTGATTCTTTCTTTTTGTTAATATCAGGATCATCTTTAGATGGAGATAATTTCCTTTTTATTCCTTTAAATGCTTCTCCTATAAATAACATATTTTTTAGCAATTGATATTGATTTATACTATACAGAATATTTTTTAAACTATTTTTTAGAATTTTATTCCAAAAGTTTACCTTGTTTTTGCTTGTCAGATCGTTTCAATATAACACCAACAGGTAACTTTAATTGTGAAGTACGACTACTAAAAAATGATAAAAATTTATTAAAATTTTTATTAAATTAGATTATTAAATTATATTTCAAAATTTAACCTCTTGAATCTTAATTTTAAAATAATTCTTGAAATAAGGAATTCTCTCTTTTAAAATTTAAATATAATACAACACGGTACCTTCCACAAGCGATATTTTTACTGGTGACAGGTGGAGTTTTCAATTCTTGTTTTAATTTTTCATTTAATTTCTGTTCCTGAAGAGAAGCAACTGCAGCTTTAAAGTCACGCATTTCTTTTTCTTCTTCAAGATTCTTTTTACGTTCTTCTTCCATCTTGGTTCTATCAACTAAATCCAAAAACTCTACTTCATCATCATCTAATCCTTTGATCATATTCTCTGTAGAGATATAAATATGTATATTAAGATATATTTTTTTAAATATGACATATGAATTAAAATTCATTATGTGTTAAGAATAGAACATTTTTATTCTAAAAAATATTTCAAGCAAAAATAATGTTAGTTTCTCACTTACTTAATTTATGAGCTTCTTCATATTCTATATCCCTTTTATTTTTCTGTTCTTGTAATCTTTCGTATAATGATCTAGGATCGTAAGGTTCCTCTGGCGCTTCTGTAAGTTATTACAGTAAACAAAATATTTATCAATTATTTATAATTTTGGAAATCATCGAAATTACTTTATCAGAGCCATGAAAAGACACATACATATTCTCAATTCTAGATACAATGCGATTGCATACAAGTTATATGTCGTACGAAATACGGAGAGAAAGAACATTGAAGCTAACCTAAAGGTTGATCGGCAGTCCGCACTCGTTCCCATTCCTCCTGCCGCATTCGTCGTTGTTCGGCGATTTCGGCTTCCGATATAAAACCCGAACTCATCCTCACTGTTTACAAATATCGTATTCTACAAAATGCAACGAAATAAAGGTCCTTCGCAACGTTTACAGATACGTTTTCCCGTATACTTCGATAAATTCGATGAGAACGCACGCGACCTATAGTTCGCTGACAGAAAACCTCGTCGCGTATATTTTATGCCGTGTGCTACTATCAAATAAAAATAGCTTCTAAATGTTATTCCTAATATTTCAGATGGTAATTATTTAGAATAGCCTTGTCACCTCCTCATTTAAATTTAAAAATTTAAAAATTTAAAAATTTAAATTTAAAAATTTAAATTTTAAATTAAAAATTTTTAATTTTAAATTTAAAAATTTTAATTTTAAATTTAAAAATTTAAATTTTAAATCTAAAAATTTAAATTTTAAATTTAAAAATTTAAATTTTAAATTTTTAAATTTAAATTTAAATTTTAAAATAAAAATTTAATTTAAAAATTTATTTTAATTTTAAAAATTTTAATTAAAAAAATTTTAATTTTAATTTTAAATTTAAATTTTAATTTTAAAATTTAATTCTAAATTATTTAAAATTTTAAAATTTTAAATTTTAAATTTGAATTTCAAATTTTAATATCTTGCTTAATATCTGGGTTTGCGAGGACCGTCGCGTTTTTCTGCCAGATTTTTTTATTTTGAGCGAAACCGAGTCGCTTAAGTCTAATTTTATCAAAATCGGAAGTGACAAAGCTATTCTAAATAATTATCTTTTAGATTAAGGTAATTATCATCTCATAGTAGAAAATGGGGGAAAATATTCATCAAATGTATAGATTGTTTTTAGAAACACAAGGCACATGTATGATAAAGCAACATGATAAGTGTTTAGGAACCCATGATATATTATGATATACTATGGATAGTTCGTGGCAAATTCAAACAGCGTTGTACAATAATAACACCCGAGATCCAATAGAAGCGTTTATTTCCTAGGGATAATAGTATTCCTTTGACTGGTATAAAATGAATGCGAGCAATAATGTAACAAATAAACAAGTTTTAATTGTTATTTCTACGAAAAATAATACGTTTTCCTTCTTCGCTTTTTCATCTTTCAAAAACTGTAAATATACTTTTACTTCTTTCTTAAATGTTCAAAGTTCAATAAAGTGTAACAAAGTGCAAAGATTCTTACGATACGATTAGTCGATTTCACTAAATTAAATATTTTTATTGGCGCGATGCCAAACTTCACTTCGTCTTCGAAACGCGAACGCATGTAAAAATGCGATTATGTATGCATTGTATACGTTGTACAAAACAGTGGAGTGCTGTGAAGTCGATGATCTATGCACATCGATATTTTGTGTAAATCCGATTTTATATTCTCATGGGATAGAATAAAGCACGAGATTATTTTGCATATTACACGAATGGCACAGCGGATTGCAATTGGTATAATCGTCAGTCTAGATAAGCAATTTGTTGCTTTATGATTATTTATTTATTTATTTATAATTATATCAATTATAATTTCTCTAACATTTTAAATAATTACATAGATTGCGATTGTTTTTATAATTTCGTTTTTATAATTTTTATTTTTTAAAAGTGGCTTTTATGCTTAGAATACAATTAAAGACCAAAATTATCTCTGATATTCACATACTTACACTTATATGTAATGATTTATTACATACATCTTGCAAATCTTTGGCATAAATAAACAAATGTTTGGATAATAAAAATTTATTACATTTCCAACTTTTTTTTATAAAATAATACAAATATTAACATGAATCACATAACCTTAAAAATGTTATAATCTGGATAGAATTAAATGATTAAGCATGAAATATTAAAAGATACAATACTAAATATCTTTCTATCGTATTTTTTAATATTTTAATTATATTTAATTATATTTATTTAATTATATTTAAAAAAATGCTATACGTTATAAAATTAGAAGCGACATTCAGGAACACGAGTTTAAATGAAATTATATTTTCTAAATTTTCAAATAAAAAATATTTTATTAATTATTGAGCATATATTTAAGAAAAATTATTCATATAGGTCTACTTCTATTTGTATTGAACAGACTTAACTCTATAGTTATCTCCAAATTATAACACCTTTATTACCTTTTTTATATTATATTTTATTATATTAACTGTTTAAACATTTATCTGTCATCATATCATTATAATTTAGCAGGTCCCTTCATTTCTTTTGTAAAAAAAATTACAGAATTATCATACTTGCAAACTCAATAGACAAAATAAAAACTTAGTAATCTTAGTAACTTAGCAAAAATGTAATCAAATAATAATGTATTAGAGTGTATTAATGCAATATATCGCTTAAAATTACTGCTGAATATCACATTTACTTTGTTATTTAAATACATCAGATTTCTGAGATTTGTTTATAATAGTCCATATGTATTATTAATAGCGGTAAATGCATTATAAAATATCAATTACCATCATTTGTATTGCTTCAGATGCTTAAAACTTGATTTTTCCTTGTAGAATTTGATTATAAACTTCTAGTGTCAATAATTGATAACCAAGTTTTGCATCTAAATAATATAATTTGTCTTGAATTTTATGCAGATTATATCCTTCTTCCTGAAGATCTTTCTTTTTTAATTTGAACGTTCCTACAAGCATACATTTAACATTTATTCAATGTAATCTCGTGTAAACTTTCACGTAAATAACAAAAATGTTAATCATATATGTATATTTATGCATAAATATACCTGTGAGATCAATTTTCGTCAAAATCCTGACAAATTGTGGTCTGGCATAAGCAGGTAATTGTTCCTTAATGTCGACGGATAATTTATTTATATCCAATGTGCCATCTGCATCATAAATTGCTGCCATTCCTGCTCTACCTTCATTACCTTGAATCTGTCGATAATCATTATCTAATATTAAATCAACTTTATAAAATTCGACACTTTTTAGCATACGTATATCAGGGATTATTGTGTATCAATATGTTACACAAAAAATCTGATAAATGATAAATAGTTATTATTACCTCCACGCCGTATACTATACAATCTCGATAACTGATAAGATTACTGACTATGCCTTCAATTTCAGAAGTTGATACATTTTCTCCTTTCCATCTAAATGTGTCTCCCGTTCTATCCTTGAAATATAGATAGCCAAAATCGTCGGCAATAAGGATATCCCCTAATTATAATCAAATTTACAAAATTATCCAAAGTTCAGAGATAAGTATAATTCTGTACCATAAATATAACTAAATAAACTTTAAGAAAATTGAAATATTGCATAAATATAGAGAACATTTTTCAACTCACAAATTACTTCTTTTAATAAATCATTATCTAAATTATAAGAAGCTCATATAATTCCACAAATTTGTTTTAATGAATAGCAGATATTAAATTAAATTTTACACATACCCGACAAAAAAGCAGAATCGCCTTTTGTAAAAACATTGTAAATTACTTTTTTCTCAGATGCTTTTTTGTCCACATATCCTAAAAACGCCCTAGTTGGATTATTTGGTGCGATCTTTCCGATAAATGCGCCAGGTTCATCTATTAAATAAAAGATGAAATTTTAGCTAATAATTAGATACAATGGTGCATAGAACATAGAAAAAATAACGCGAACAATAATATTAATAACCATTTTACTTAAATTATAAAAAAGTCATTCTTTTATCTTAACAAAATTTTTTATTACATGTAATATAATAGTCATTAAATATTGAAAATCAAATTAAATTAGATTAAACATCTCATTTTTCGCTCATTAATTATTTATGAATAGACATACCTATGAGATGAATTTTCATCAGAATTCTAAATATTAATCAATATTTTAAATTAATTAATCCTTCTATTCTATCATTCCATCTACTCTACAACTTACTTGGTTCACAGACTTGACACAATCCTTTAGAATTGCGTATAGGTTCTCCATCTTCGTTTACTTTAATAAGGGAAACGGGATATACCGATGGGATAATTCTTGAAAAAAAACCTATAGCTCCCATTTTGTTGTCAATATTCACTGAAAAAATGCACTTTTTAATGTTCCAATTATCCTGTTGTATGTTACCTTTATTACATTTTTGAATGAAATTATTTTAATAACTAAGGATACTAGCCTGTACAATAAATAGATTCAGGTTGTTGTCAAAAATTACTTTAAGCTAAAAATATCATGAATATAACAGCTGAATAAAATCTGTAAAATACTTACTAACATTAGCATTGCCTTCTGTTGCACCGTAAAACTCAAGCACTTGTCGAATATTAAATCGTTTTACAAATTCTTCCCATATCTGCGGTCTTAATCCATTGCCAACGATCATTCTAATAGTATGTTCGTGATCTTCTTTTTTAGAGGGTACTGCCAAAATATATCGACACATTTCTCCTATATATTGAGCAACCTGATGTTTTCCAAAATTTTATTCGATATAATGTTCGTATAACTTTCATTTGGTACGTATAATAAATATTATATATTATATATTATATATTATATATATATAAAACAAATTAATATAAATTATTACAATATTTGTAAAATTATCCAGTAATTTAACAAATCGAATTATACTTACGGTACATTTATATTTAATGCAATCAGCAAAATACGCACTAGCGCTAAATTTTTTTCTGATTACTGTTGTGTGTCCATGTACCAAAGCTAAGCCCACAGTCATTATTCCACCAGCCGTATGATACAACGGCAGTGGGGTATATATTCTATCAGAATTACGTAAAACTCCCATGTACTGTACCGAACTCGTAATAAAGATATATCTGTAGAGATATAATATATGATTTGTTTTATCCTATTTCTATAAAATCTCTATTGCTTCATTTTTTCAATTTTTAAAAGTTTCTGGAAATTTTCCAAATTTTTCTAGATTAAACAAATTTTTTAATAGAAATCTGGCATTTCCTTGAAAGTTGAAGCTAATGCCTTGAGACTTTTATCAAATTATATTGTGACACAAACTGATCTTAAATAAAAATAAAATCATTAATAATTTTTATACAAAAAAATTACTAACAATACACACAACCGTGGATCTTATATCTTTAAAATGCCATTTCACACATAATTTAAAATTCTTTTTGAAACATATCAGAAACTCTAGAATTTTTCAGGAAAAGAGCCAAAACTTATAACGTATAGATATAACATGTATTCACCTTGAATTAGTAATAACAGCTGCTTTGGGTAAACCTGTTGTACCACTGGTATAAATGTACAAAAGTTTGTCATGAAAACCACTTCTTTCTTGTACGATTGGTGGTGTAGCGGGTGTATCCGCCAAGAGGGCATTTAAATCTTTCTCTTTTAATCCATTTGACATTGCATTCGAGTGATTTCCGAATCTGTATAAAGTTAATTTAGCATCCAACGACGAGGCGATATCTGTTACAGCTAAAATTAACAGTTTATTTATTAAATACATAATTTATAAAATATTAAAAAAGTGTTAAATAGTTCCGATTATTATAAATGAAGAAAATCTATTGTTTGAACGTCAATTTTTATTAGTTATTTCAATTATAATATAAAAGAGATAATAATCATTATATTGATCATTATTCTTACCATCGAAAAAATCGATGCCATATATAAATGCTTGACATTTTGAAATATTAATGCAATGCAAAAGACTACTCTTGCGCAAATTGGTATTAAGTAAAGATGTTATCACACCAAGCTTGTTTAAACCTAGCCAAATCGCAATAAATTCCGGCCGATTTTCTAATAGTAAAGCAATCGTGTCTCCTTTCTTATAACCATGCGCTTTAAATATGTTCGCAATTTTATTACTGAAGTCCTCGACCTAGTTATAGAAATTAATAGAATTAATTAATATAGAATTATACAGTATATATTTATATATAAAGAATAAAATAGATTACAAAAGACTGCATATAACGCAGAAAATTAGTTATTTAAATCGAAATTGTGAATTGTGTGTTGACATCACATGGAATATCATAATAAAATTACAATTTACATAATATGTGAATTGGAATATTTTTATTCTTAAAAATTAATATAAACTACACTTATCAACTTTATTTAATAATAATAACTTTAATGTAACAAATCTTGTTAAAAAATGATGAATTAATACAAATCTTTTAACAAAAATTATTCTGGAATTAAGCGCGATAAAAGATTAATTCGTTTATATATAAAGCTTCACAATGATTTTTAATCTTATTATTTATATATATTTAAATCTTGAAAGAAATCAATTAATCTGAAATGTCTTTATTAAATATATATTAATATGTTTGTGTATATGAGAATGACAGAGAGAGAGAGAGAGAGAGAAACATTTCATAAATATGTATATAAAAATAATGCCTTCTTTTTCTAAAAATAAATTTTACCTGTTGAAAAGTCCATTCTTGATCTTCAAATATAAAGCAGATTTTGTTAGGATGACGACTGACATATTGTCTAAATATATCGGCGACGTTTCTGTTTTTCTTTTCATGACTATGTACTGACCACAGCATTTTAAAATATCTTATAAGTCCTCTGAAAAAAAGTAAAAAAACGCTCGAGGAAAACAACTTTCACAATTATAATATGCGTTACAAACAAGACGATGTATATTCATGCTATTCTTTCTGTCAGATTTAAAAGTGAAAGTAAATGATTATTACTCAATTAAAAGTTTAAAATTAAAAAGCGATATTTGGTAAAAGAAATTAATTATTTCACATAAAATTTTCTTTAGATATAACGACTATAGAATACATAAATTTGAAATATTTAATATCAGTATTGTCTTATTTGATACGTTTTATACGTACGTATTCCATTGATATTTTTCAACAATTTCTAAAACACGTATAGTCAATTATTTGACACGATTACGTCGAATAGCCAACAAAGAAATTCCGTTATATGTTCTCGAGGTCAAGAAGAGAGAATGCTACGTTCACTCAGCAATAGTGTAGGAACAACGTATAAAATGCAATGAGGAAGACGATAATATATTCCTCATTTTATTATTATATTTTTTTAATATTTGCTCATTTTAATATCCATATAATATTTTCAAATTCTTTGTTGATACATGCTTTGATATATGCAATGTACATCTCCTGATGATATGGTAATATAAGCTCTCTATATAACTAATAGGAATTTAGCTAATTTAAATATAGTAAATTATTTTTAATATTTCGTATACATTATAAAAGGTATTGAAATATTGTAGTGATGGCTTTGATCATGGCCTAGATTTCAATGGCCATGGACAGGACCATGACCACAGTCAGGTTTATGATTAGAATCATGTCTACAATCATGGTCATAAATTATAACCACAATAAAAAATTGTTAAATGTGCAAAAAATATATTTTTCTGTTGTTATCTTTATACCAATACATGTTAAATATACTGAATTAAAATAGACTCTTTATTTACATTTTTCTATTCTGATCAACTTCTCGCCTCATTTTCCAATTTGTTTTTATTTTGTCATTTTTTTGTGCTTTTGCTTTTTGACACATTTTATTATACTCAATTTCCATTAAAAATCGGATAATATTTTTCAACATTGATAATTTTTCATAATTGTTTTCTATTTACATACCCGCCAGAATATGATAAAGATCAAATGCATTTCATGCATTCAAAATTACTTCTAATTATCTTCTATTCGCGTATTCGCGTGATAAAAATAATAGGATTTCGTCGGGTTTTTCCAATCTATCCATTTAAGTCTAAACAAACATGTTTTTCTTTATTAGAATTTGTAAAAATGCAAATTGAATGCAAGCGTTTCTTGCATAAATTAATAAATTTATATAAATTAAATAAAATTTTTTATCATAATCGTCACTCGCAATATTGTCAAATATGAGCAAAAATACGATAAGAAAAATATATTAATATTTATTTGTAATATTATTATATTAATTTAAATTAATAAATGTTTTTCGATAAAAGAAACATCACAAAAAATCAGATATAAAATCTTTTACTATTACTTTCTTTATATATATGTCGTATGTCGATTCTTTACCTTTGTGTTCAAATGAAACTCAATCATATATATATATATACATCCGGTTGAATTGCATAAACTAATTAGCAATTGTTAGCGAAATCTATGATCTTATTCCCAAGTAAAATTTAATCACAGAAAATTCCAAATGAGACTAGCCTCCTTTTTCATTCTTCTTTATAATAAAAAATATAAAAGTGAAAGCTAAACCAAATTACTCATACAAATTCTTAAAGCTTTAAGTTTGTATATTAGTAAATTAAATAATTATGAATTTATAAAATATTTCAGTTTATTTTAGAAACATAATCAATAAGAATAAATGTGAATTGCTTATTTTAAAACATCTTATATCTTATTTTCTTATAATGAAATGAAGATGTCGTACATTATTGATTGGAACTGTCAAAAATATAAAAAAATGTAATTTTTTTCCAATAGATTTAAATTACTTGAAATTAAATTGCACATCATAATCTGATTTATTTATTATTTATTAAAATTAATAGAACGATAAAAAAGCTTTTCCTGGTAAATTGGCAACTCATTATCATCCTATCTACTATTATATGGAAATTAATCCGTGGAAATCAAAGATTATGCAAGAGAATAAATTATTACAGAATTAAGATTGTGAATTTTATAATCTATCTGTAAAGATAGACGTTACAAGAATCTGACATGTAACTAAAACGTATAACATATCGTTGTATCGAATGATCAATGAATTATTCAATTTCCATTTAATTTCCATTTAAATTATTCTTTGTTTTTTCTAATTCATAGAATTAATGTCTATTTTTATCAATGTAAATATTTTTAATTTTCATTTAATTTACTTTTTATCATTTTTAACTCTAAAAATTAGAAAAAGAGTAAATTGAACTAAGATTAAAGTTAATTTGTCTCAATAAAAATAGTAAGAAAAATAAAAAATATAAGTTAGAAAAGAGTTTAAAAGTAATCTACACATTGGTAGAAATGAACATAAAGCAGAGGAAATTTAACGTATCTTTGATGATCTGTCTGTTCTTTTCTTCTTTTTTTACTTTTCTCGCGGCGTGGCCTTCGACATATTTAGCATACAACTTGAATCCTAATGATTAATTATTATTACAAACTTCATCATTATGTAATTACAAAGATACAATCCATTTACGTCATTTAATATACATATACATATTTACAGTGACTAAACACGAAATGTCTTATTGCTCTTTTATTTACAGTAATATTGTGTGCTTTAGTCGAGAGAAACTAAATAGAGACTATCGTTGACGGTAAAAAAGAAAAACACTGAGTCGATCGCTAAGTAAAATTCTATAATTTGTTAAATTAATGAGATTGATTTTTTTACAGACCAATAAAACAGTCGACAATAACATAGAATATAAAAGAATTTGTGAAACTCACTTGCAATCACGTGGTAATGTCCTAAGGGCAACGTAGAACCATTTCATACGGCCACCGGCAACAAAGTAGGCAACGGAGACCACTATGAGGAGTTGCACAAGATAAATCGGACCCATGTAGATGACAACTAAAGCCAGTGCTCCTGCCGCAATGGCCAACAGCAGCATAGTGAGAGTAAGATGTTGTAGAAACCGACCGAACGCTCTCCAACGACTTCGGCTCACATCGAGATCTCCCTCCGAAGTCCCTCTGGAAGTCGTGTTCACGCTCGCGCTAGCACGTGTCGTCTGGAAGTCCTGATGCGTACCTGATGATGCATTTGCTGTGCGCCCCACTCCGAACGTTGCCCTCGGCACGTCACATCTGTTTGTCTCGTTCAGCGGTGTCGGCGTCGATGTCAACGCCGGAACCGACGTCGACGTCGACGTCGACGTCGACGCCGACACCGAGGATACTCCTACGAAACGAGCCTCGCCGCGCTCGATATCCTGCAATAAAAATGTAGAGCTTTAACTTAAATGATTGAAAAACAGAACTACAAAATGAATCTACTCTAGCAATGCTCTTCAACTACAAATAGATTGAAACAAAACGCATTACCCTGATCTTTCAAATAAACTGCAAGTCATTACATCTGATAAAAAGATTGATAACAGAATTAATATTCTGATAAAAGTTTGTGAACTATGAATGAGCCTTATTGAAAACTTAAACACTTAAAATTAGAGATTAGCAGAATCGACTAATTATCATTAAAATTAATCATTATTCAATTGATAGATGATGTAAATGAGGAAAATTTTTATTTTTTTATATCTTTGTATGACGTTAACTTGTAAAATCAGTTCAAGTTTTTTTAAACATACTTTTTATATCTTTTTATATCTAAGTTTTTTTCAAGTAGACCGGGAGATGGATTGTAAAAAGCTTTTTTTTACTTTTCACTATGATTAAATTTTCTCAACATCTAATTAATTTTGTTGGCATTTAGAACACCATGTATTTTCATCAAGATTTTCCAGTCGTTGACTGACTAGAGCAAACTGCCAGGTTTCTAGCTTAGCCGACTACTTTCTAGCAATTTAGTTTCTCCTTGTATTTCTCGCTACATGACCTAGTAAATAGATAGATTAAAACGGTTCAATTTTACAAGTTGCTGATAACGTATTTAGTATGTTTCAGAAAAATATTGCACATTTTGTAAACCGATAGATTTCAACGTTCTTATTTAGACCGCTTAAAAAGTTAATAATAATAATAAATACGTACGTTTTACTTTCTTCTTGACTGAATTTAAAAAATATGGATGCAAAATATGCGTATATATAAACTACGTCAGGTTTCCCGCACATTTCTTTCCATTTTTCTCTTATCTCTCCTTATCAGTCTTGATCAAATATCATCTCTCGTTACAATTTTCAATTGTTGAAATATCAACATGTCACGGTCTAAATCCTCAATTAAAATTCTATTGCTATTAAGCTTATTTTGGGGATAATCTAATAATCATATTACCTAACAATAATAATATAATCGTATTTCGCGTGATTTGCGTTTGATGAAGTTTTATATAATTCGCTCAAAGTGGCAAAAAGAAGATACGTAGCGCCATCTAACATTGCTCGATAGAAACGATTGGCAAAAAATTTTGATTAACGCGCACGTGTCTCTCCCTGTCGATAAGATCGTGCCACTTTGCATCGTTAATACCTGTCACTTCCGATTCAGGGCATATCCGGGTTGAGCGCACCGTGCCCGATTATTTTGCGCGCGTTGCATCGCTGTACTTACTATGAAGATAGAATCGTATCTCCACGCGGCATGTCCTTTAAACGGGGCTAGCACGCATTTTTGCAAGATCCTTTTAAATCGCGTGTTTATCGCGCGTAAAATGTCTCACGCTCGAATTGGCATGGAGAATGCTACCCCTCTCGCGGCACTTTATAGCCGAGCTACTTGACGATTGACACTTCTTTATCCGTGTGAATGATATAGAACGTGAAATTTGAGAGCTTTATGTAACCCACGGGACGATTTGCGGGAAGATTTCACTCGACCGACAGGCTTCCGCGGTTTCAACGAATAGACTATAATCGATAATTCGACGATACTGCTATCTCGTGGTAGAAAGCGGATTTTCTTAACAATTAAAAAATTAAAAATAATTTTGATTGTTAATACGCATGCACAAATTGCATTTGTTATTATAAAAAAATGTTTTTCTAAAAAATTATGCTATATTAAGAAAAAAAAGACTAGAGCTTTATTTCTCGTATAAAATCAAATTTCGGGGAAGTTCCAACGATTAAAATAAAATAATTATCGATTAAAATAAAATATTCCATATATATGAACGATTAAATGCGATTATTTATTTAATATTTCATAACAAGGTATTATTATAAATGTTTCATTAGTTTGCATTATTCTAACTGAAGAATATTAAAATAAGTTTTATCCGTCACGGAATATTAAAAAAAGTTTTATCCGTCACAGATCATCATTTTTTTCTTTCTTACCGTACGTTTTTAATCTTTTTGGATTTGACTATTTCCCTTTATCAATAAAATGGCAAATAATCATATATAGAAGGAAATATACGTTTAGTTCGAGGAGACACTTTCAAACTGTTCCAAGGAATAGTTAATATATGGAGGGTCACGATCCGATTACGTAGCCTCGTACATTACGTCCGATTTCCGAATCATGATTCAGCGCGAAATAAATTAAATTAATTCTAAAAAGCACATTTATGTATCTTTAATTCATGCTTGAAATGTTACAATAATAAAAGCTTAGAACAATTATGGCAATAAAAATAAATATATATCTAATGAAAGAATTAGTTAATATTAATCTTTATTTCTATTTGTTTTGCACAACGTATCTTTAATTTTCAATTATGGCTAACAGCAATTCATATACTAATTAAATAATAAGCTATACATATGCTAATTAAAATTGGTTTTTTGCAAACTTTGAGTAATATGTACATATATTAATTTTTATTAATATTTTATGCTAAAGCGCGTCTATAAATTCTCAATTGCTGTCACGTTTTAGCTATGTAATAAATATATAATAAATATATCACCAAAATGTCAAGGTGAAAATTCTGTAATATCTCCAAATAAAAATATAAAAAAATAAAGAAAAATATGTATTTTTTGCTTACATAAATAATTGCATTACACACGAATAATTAAAGATCTGCATATTCTCTAGAGAAATTCTCAAGAATATAAAAAAGAGATGATATTATTTTCTTCGTAGATTGATTCGTGGTTGGTAATATAATTGTTTGAATTTATTTATAGAAAAATTTAGCAATCAAGATCCTGCTTGTCGAGGAATTGGCTATCTCAGTGTCAATTGTTAGATAGTTACATATTAGGATAGGATATGAGAAAAAAGATAGCCATCATATTTTAACAAACTGAATGCAAAGGGAAAAATGTATTTGTACATTTAAAATGTGATTTTGAAATGTGACATTAAGCAACAGTACTATTAGCAACAGTACTATTGCAAACATACTTACACAATCTTTATCGCCAATTTGCGTAACGTTTATTCCATTGTTGTGATTAATTGACATCTTTGTTATAGTATCCGCCATTTCTAATAACGTTAGAAAACTGCACAGATCGAATACATAAAATTTTTTTACAAAAGAGAGAAATATGGATATTTACAAGTTTTAAGGAATTATCACAAATACCACAATTCTGTTGTCAAATTCGATTTTTTTAATTAATGTGACGCAAAAATCAAAATATAAAAAGGAATGAAGGTGAAAGCACCTTTTGACACTTATTTTGATCCGTTTTATTAATTATGTTTAGATCATTCACAATCACGAGATTCACGTTTTACAACGCGCACGTCGCACGTACACATCGGGTGATCTTTGCAAAGCACTGCACGGCGAAATTTTCTGTCGATTTAGCAAGAAGTAGGGGAAAAGTCCGCAAAGAAAATGAGCTTCTGTGCAACCAACGGAACAACGGAACAAGTATAGCTGCACATCCACCGACTGATTCGATTCCTGTTAGTGTACAGTCTAAAATGAAATAGCAACGGTGCAAGTCGGTTAGTCTGGTCATGAAAGCCTGATCCTCCCTCCTTCATTTCACATGCATGTGCCGGTTCTTGAAACACCATTCGCCATCCATTCGCCTATTCATCGCTTTATTTCAACAAAGAGAGGAAGAAAAGGATTACAACTACGTATGATAATTGCACTGGCAAAAAATGTAACAAGAAGCGTCAATGGTACATGACCTCGTTTCGTAATAACTTTTTTTTTCATCTTTCGAGACGACCAGAAATTTATTTCCGTGACATCATACTCCCATATTTATATTTTATTACATAAAAAAATGTTATTATCGGAACTCGTTTGTGGTAAACCAAAAGTCACATTGACGTCAGCAACGAGAATTTTTCCTTAATTTATATTTATAAAATAAGATAAGAATTCCGCATGCAACATTTCAACATATTAATATAATATAGTTACAAAAAGGGATTAGAAAAGAAATCTCAACAACTATTTTTTTGTTTCAATCATACTTTTAATTTATATGTACGTTATATGTAAACGTTTACGTTATATGTAAAAAGATAGCATAAAATTAACATGAGTACAAAGTACTTGTCACATCCCGGATTTGCGTGGCAAGAATAAAGTCATAAATATAAATGTTGAATATAAATATTAACATCTTAATATGCATAATAATCCACATTTTGACGCAAAGTCATGCAATCGACCTCATCAATCTTTAAAGTCTTTGTCTTTACGTTGATATCTTCTTCGAGTTGAATTTGTGTTTTGAGCAAATAACGTAAAGATGCCTCTGCCTAATAATATATTTCATAATAAAAGATTATTATTGGATTATTAAAATTTATCATATAATGTTGCAAATATACATATTTAATTTCTATTAGTTAGGATTTTATAAAAAGCACGAAACATATATCGCGAACCTCGTAAAGCATTTGTTGCAAATTAGCCACGACATTTCGTAATTCGTGTATCTCTTTCACGAGATTGACCTCGACTAAGTCCTGCGTAAGTTCCATTTCTGGTCGTTGACATCGATGTCCCAGTCTTGTGTGAGCTAGAGCCATGTAACCCTCCTTATCAGCTATCGACTTCTTAATATGTATAATATTGTTTGACATAGTGGTAACTTGTTTCATTATCTACAAAGAACATTAAATAAAAACTGCGAAATATATAACAACTTTTAAATTAACACGATAAAATAGTTTATCATAAGAATAAAAAAATTGTAATGTGAATCACTCTTTTTGCTTTGATTGTATAAACTTAAAAGATTTTCTTAAAAATTCTATTATAAATTTTGAAAAGAAGAATCCGTGACTTCATAATTTTATCAAAAATCTTAATAATTTATTAATATCTTTAAAATTTGCATGAAGATCTTTTTTTACGTACCTCCGAGTGCTCAAGCTCCAATTTGGTTTTAGCTTCTCGAGTCTGTTCGATACGTTGTCTGAAAGCTTCATTCGTGATACTCTTTTGTTCATTTAACTCGTTAATTGTTTGTTTAATTATTGTGTCGATATGGGAGCGCAATCGTTTCGCGTTATTCATTTCTTTATTTGCATTGATAACATTACTATTCGTATGTAGTTCCCAATCGTTTAATGTTATTCTGTGATTAATAATTCTCTTTTGTGACTTTAATATTCTTAAATATATCAGCTAAGATATTACATATTAAACATATATAAATAAAATAATTGTCAAGCTAATCTCGCTCTACAAATGTTTCATTTTTCTTCGGTATACTTTTCTAATTTATTATTATTAAATATGAATAGTGACAAAGACAGTGATGGAAAGGAAACTAATTAATTTCAAGAAAAATATCCGCGTTTGTTTCTGACATCACAACGCAATATAGCTGCGGCCAAAAGTTAAGTATTTAAACTGTATTCCGATGTATGCAAGTTACATGCAAAATACTTGATATTTCTTAACAATCTTACGCACGATTTGTCAAAGCACGAAGTGTCATGATAAATACTCAGATTAAAGTCGTTCTCCTTTAAAGTCACATTGCGACGATCGATATGTAAATTGCTTTCTTTATTTTCGAGATCATGATCGATGTAATATAATGTGGCCTTCAATTTGCGAATCTGCTCACAAGTTTCTTCCAAGATTCGACTTAATAGATTTTCCGCTTCTTGAATCACTTCGCGTTCTTTCAACAGGTTTCTTTCAACATCGTCATGAACCAAGTCGATGCCTAATCTACATTCCCTGTAATATATCATTTTAGAAAGTTAGCTTTGGAAGAAGGTGAAACTTGCTCGCGGCAGATTGCTCAAAAGTCTAGCGAATATTAATAACCTGATAATGAGACATTTTTCGCAAATTGCGAGAGCGTTTCTCTTTACAGATCTCAATGTGTCCGTAATTCGTTGTTTATAAACGGACAACGCATCGATCTCCAGAACGGTATCTTTTCTTATTCGTAGAAGTTCCTCTTTACAAAACTCAATGTCATCGAGTTTTTCTAACAATCGATGATCTGTCTCTTCTTTATTGGTCCTCACAATTTCTTTAGCTGATTCGCATGCGAGAGTTGCCTCGGCTAAAAGTCGATCTGATGATTTTCGTTGTGCCTCGGAACACCGATATCTAAACTCGTTATAATTTTATGTTAAAACAAAAGGGAAAAAAGAGAAAGAAAGGAGAGAAGATTCAGATTCCTAATGCGAATGATGTACGTGCATGCGAGTGTAGTTCGTGATAAAAACTTATTTGCTTTCTCCATAATTACATATCCCGGATGAAGCAACATCGCAATTCTAGCCGGACTTGACGATATACGTGTGTATTAGGGAAGCGTCGTAAGGATCGTTATTAAAATCACGCTTGATCGCCACGTATAATCATCTCTTTTATTCCATCTTCTTGGAACATAAGTGTAACGACGTTCTTGCATAATGCCTCGCATGCCTGACTTACTGATACCTGAACTGATTATCGAGCTGCCACTCTTCCAACGTAAACTTCGTAGGAAGAAACGGTGAACGATGTGTTTCGATTTTCGCCATACCGCGATGCGATTTCACCCCGAAACGAAAAATCTAATGCAAGTTAAAAATAAGAGATATTTCAACGAGAGATGATTCACGAAGGCTATCTTTCTAATATGTTTTCTCGTTTCCAAGGAAACATTCTTCTCTTAGCTAAACTGCGCGTTCAATAAATACGCAACGACAATATATTATTATTCATAATACTCACGTGTATTTTATAACAAGTGTAAAAACAATACTGAAAAAATAATAAACAACTTTTTGTTATTTATGGTAATTATGACTTTATACGTATTTGAAGCAAGATGAGGTAAAGTTCTTTATTATGCTTATTATACAAGTAAAATAAGAAAGGATATGATTTTACGCCGATAACATTGATTACAATATTATCAAGCGAATGTTACGTCAAATTTTTTTAATTCCGACTAACTTCGTCCGAGGACGCTTTTCGGCGTTGAATAGTTTCTTATTTATCGATCTGATATTTTATTCTGAAAATATTGTACGTACGCAAGATTATTACTCTTACAATCGGTTAATAATTATGAAAAAAATGGGACGAAACTTTTCTTGAGATTTATAAAATAAGTAAGTTTGAAATAGATCGATCCATATTAGAATCATATATATTTACTGCATATTTTATCGTGTTCTTTCATCAATTATTTGTGTCATTGTAAAGAAAAACTTGGAAGAGATTTAATTTTTTTAGATTAAAAAAACCGAGCAAAATAATGATTTTAATAAATAAATCTGATTTTAAAAGTAGAAATATTATTTTTTATTTTATTATCTTTTATTTATTATAATATGACAAATTTACATCGATTTAAAAGTACTTGCTATAAAGGGATGTTTACATAAAATCTTTTGTAATAGTGTACAAAAATTTATAGATCGATTCCTGCATATATATATATATATATATATA